TTCTCAAGGCCTAATCGAATTACACACATGCAAGCCTTCATTAATCACTTTAATCTCAACAATCAATCAACATAATTCCCAAATTAGTCACAATTAATTAATCATACAAGTTTTACCCAATTCCTAGCCAAACAACTACTCAAATATCATCATCTATCAACTAACAACTAAAGAAATCAAGTAAAAAATATATCAATAATGATTACACTAATCAAGCATCAAACATCAAAATTAAACCAAACAAACATGAAATCGAATAAAGCAATAAGGTGAGATAGAGTTAAGAATGCTCATTGATAATAGATAAGATCTTCAACACAATTGTCACCCTTGTATCTTCAATCTCTCAATCACCATTCAAATCCTTCACTTTGTCTCTCTAAAACTATTACTAATCTATAGAGAGAACCTCCTAATCTAAGCTAATCCTCCTTAGGGGGGAGAGAAACTATCCTAATATAAAGTATTTCATGTATGAAGAATAAAGAAGGTCGTACAATATATGTATACAAAAGAAGGAAATAAAAGAAATCGCAAGTAAAACCCAGAAATCCGCCCGCGCGAAGAAATCGGCCGCGCCCGCGGAGGAGAAAACCCCCAAACCCGTGCTCGCGGGGCTAGGCCCGCGCCCTCAGGGTGCTCGCGGCCTGCACTCGGGAAGTTCCTGCCAAAAATGGTTGCTAAAAGGTTGCAGTAGCCCGCGCCCGCGGCGGCAGACCTCACTCCCATGGCCAGCCCGCGGATGTGCTGCTGTAAGGCTGGGTGTGCGGCCGAGCTGCTGGGTGCGTAGCTGCTCGTGCTGCGCGCAAGGGAGCTCGGGCTGATACACTTCTAGGAACTCGGGCTCGCTTCCTTGACGCTCGAGATCGCCACCGCGGAACTCGAGCTTGCGGAGCTTGCTTGGATTAGCTTGACTTACGTGCTTGGCTTCCCTAACTTGGCTCCGTTAAATTCCTTGAATGCACTTGAGCTTCCTCCTTGATTATTAAATCCAAGGGATTTCGAGATTCCAACAAAACAAGACAAAGAAACGGAGAAGCGAGAGAAATAGCCGAGAAATGAATAAAATAATAAGAAAAACATTAAAAGCACGCATTTCTCTAAAATAACACACAAACACGCAAGCCGAGCATTATTCCCTAAAAATATGATATAAACGACTAAAAACGAGCATAGAAATATAAAGAAAACATAGCCTAAAGGTGCCATAAATGGCACGGATCAATACCACTGTAGGAGTTTATAGGTACTACGCAGCAGAAAATCAAGAATCATATTCAATCAAATACCTAATCCCAAGAACACATGCATAACACACAAGACACATAATCATACCTTTGAAGCGTGAATTCCACGTAGCAATTTGACAGGAAAATCAGGGAGAGAATAGAGCCTCAAGCGTTGCTCCACCACCACCAGGAACCACCAGGAATCAGGGAAAATACTAGATTGGTTGAGTGATTGAGGAAAATCGTTATCACCACCTTTCTTGGACTAAGCCGACCACCACGATCCACCACCACCAGGAACCACCACACTGACGCCGAGGGAGGAGAGAACGCCGTGAGAGAGGAGAGTTTGAGAGGGTTTGTCTCATGTTTGCTAATTCGGGTTTGATCTTAATGAACACTGAATTTCATACACCTGTAAACCCTAGGCACCTAGTCTATTTATAATCACATTATAACTAGACTAGGGTTAGGAAGCCCAAAACCCTTTAATCCACTCCATGTGGTCGGCCATACTAGAGGATGAGGCCAATCATGGGCCTTGTCCTCTCGTGCCCAATCTAGACCCTTTGTGTGACCTTATAGGATCCGTCTAATTGGACTTTGGGCTATTTTACTAGCCCAAATATTGTTAGTACCTCTAGCTATAACGACGACTCAAATATCCGAACTTAATTATCTCCATAATTCGATCCATTGATATATCTAGTAATTGCACACGACTGTAGGCGTCGCTCGAAGTGCGCCTACGTTAAAAGCATGTGTGAATATGCTTGGCACTCTTAGGAAGTAAGAATTGACATATACGATTAGGGAAAAGGAAAGTAGGGAGCCGCTAACAAGTTTGTAAGGAACATGTAAACCGTTCACGGATCATTTAAGGCAACCAGGAATAAAGGGACAACGATTGACTCGTGAAGGTTACACCCCATTCATAATCCATGAGATTACTAACTCCATATGGTTCGGAACCACGAAAGGAGGATCGGGGATGATGGTACGAAGTGAGTCATGGAGTCACATTCGCCCGTATTGGCCTCTACTCGATTCTTATAGTGAAAAGTGATTCTTGCGATCTCAAAGGCATACAAACAAAATATTCAATTCGCTCCAAACTATTATTAGACTAAATTGGTTGAATATTAATGCAACACATAATTCTAAAATATTTGTTATCACTTTAATTAAAAACAAGATTAAAAAGCATCCTAAGCCGGTTGTCCAAATTATCTTATTAGGCGTGATTTTCAATTACATATTCCCTTTAAACATACAAAGTGATCATTATAACAATAAATAAACATTAATATTGGAAGAAATTTAACAATAATAGCGTTAGTCAAATCAAATAGTAATAAACCTAATCATGATACTAGCAACAAGAATAAAAATAAGAGTAATTAAGTGATTAATTACTCACTTTCTGCGTTTCCTTGAAATTGATATATCATGAATAAACTGTTAGTAACTTCAATAAAAATATAAATCAAATTAAAACAATTAAATTAAATAAAAATTAGAGTTGATTTGGTCCAAACCCTCAGTTAATTCTACCTTTTCACGCCTTGGTTAAAGTATAGAACTTCGGGTATTGTATGGACTCCTTGGAGTGCTTAAATGAAGAAATAGTGAAAGAATGGGGAGGCTAGTGTTTAGGCTAAAGAGGGAGAAGATAATTATTTTGTGATCAATCTTGTTGATGATTAAAATAGGGGAGATATGACCTCTATTCATAGGGGAAAAAGAAGAGTCGAAAAATTAAGATAAGATCCGAATTAAATCGGAATAAAACTCGATAAACTGTAGTTTTTGCGGTTTTTGTTTTTATCATATCTTTTTATCCAGATATCAGAATAAGATGAAGAAGATATCGTTGGAAAGCTCTTGAAATCTACTTTCTAACCCATTAGAATCAGATTAAATATTTTATATAATAAAAGATATGGACGAAATAAAGAGACGGTGTTAGTTTTGGATAGAATTTGACATTTTATTTATATCTTTTCCGTTATAGCTCGGAATTGATATTATAATGTATCATTGGAAAGATAATTTCAAGGGCTATCCAACCATATAAAATTTGGATAAAAAATATGAGGCACGAAAATAATATCTTTCTATCTTTGAACGTCTTTCAATTCGGATAGAAATAGGATTTTCAAAAGGAAAAGTTTTATTCAATTTCGAACTCTTTAATCTTATCTTTTCAAAAAGGATAATGAAGATATTTTAGAAACTTATAGAAGCTTCCAATTAATCCTAATTGGTTTAGGAATGAGATTAAATAATTTGGACCCTCCACATGATCATTGGGTCGTAGGTAAGGTGGGCTTAGGTTCGGTTTGGGCTCAGTTTAATATTTTGGCCATAACTTATTCGTTATAACTCGGATTTGGGCTTATAATACATCGTTGGAAAGCTCTTTTAAAGACCCATCCAACTATTCAATCATTGGAATCAGATTATGGACAAAAATAAACTGGATTAGAAGTTTTTATAAAAAGGACACGAAATGAATTGTTTTGGATTTAAAGGCACGAAAAGAGGAAAATAAGTTATAGTTTGGGGAAATGGGCTAGAAGTTGGGTTGGTTTATGAAATGGAAATATGGATTTAAGCACTCCAAGATTAAATACTCAACCCGACCAATGATGGCGGTGAAAGGTTGTTCATCATCGAGTTTGGTTTGGGGGAGACATTTTTAGGTGTTTACAACGACGAAGACATAAATCCTTCAAACCCAAGTATTGTTAAACTGTACTACCCTAAAACACAAGGGCTTGACCGACTAACCAGACTCCGAAAACAACATCCACACTTCTTTAGCCTCCAAAAGAACTACCCTAAGCAACCCCAACTCATAAACACATAGAGCAACGGAATTATTGAAAACCAGAAACCCGAACAAGAACACAAGCAAGAAAGCAGTAAAAACATAGTTAAACTAAGACAAAACAACAACTAAATAATAAACCAAAGTAGAGAAAACAAATCTATACAAACTCACTAAGCAAACTCAGTGAGACTTAAGAAGAAGCAGAGAACCCAGTAAAGCGTCACCGGCAAAACCAAAACCGACCGCTACAACCCGTCGTCAAGGCCAACGCGAGAAGACCGCCTCACCTAAATCTAACCTTTGATTAAGGGAGAAAACCCTAATCTTAAATTCTCCTTTACCGTTGGGAACAATTAACGAAATTCCTTTTAACGGCGGCGTTAAGAGTAGTCTTGGCTCCTCGAATGGTTGGAAAATTAGAATCAAAACACTTGACGACACCACCAAACTAGATTAAACCTCCAATGAACTTAAAGACACGAACCAAACCAAACTGCAATCTTTTGTGCTTTCTCCACCAAAAAACCGAAACAAAACAACAAAAAACCGAAAGGAGAAGACCTAGGCTCGCCGGTGATGGCTAAGAGAAAAGCGTCGATCGCCGGCGAGCAGGGGAGAAGAAAGGGGGAAACGGTAGGAGGATAAGAACAGGGTTATCAACTTTCTAGAGAGAGAAACGGTAAATCATTTAAGTTTGATCGTTTTAAAAATCGGTTAGCATATGGTTGAATGTAAATAAGGTGTTACTACGAGCAAGAACAAAAAAAAATGATATTGAGCAAAATGTCGCATTACGATTTCAGGTAAGGGGAGAAAAACTGAAAAAGTTTTTTTTTTTTTTTTTTTTTTTTTTTTTGAATGGGAAATATTAATATCATTAAATAACAACCATACAATGATATAGAAAATTGAAAAAGTAACTTCGGTGTGGTAAATTGGTGATGGCTGTGTTGGACCATTGAAAAAGTAATAATATCATTAAGATTTGACGTTTAACCACACAGTATTGATTGACACTATCAAGATTTACAAAATACAGCATCTAGAAACAGAAGCCAGATGCCCAGATGAAGATAGTGTGGTGAACAGATGAAGATAGTGCGGTGAATTAGTGATGGATGTGTTAGACCGCTTCGAGTGTGTATTAAGATTTGACGATCAACAAAAAGCTTTCAACTATCAATCTTACGGTGTATAAAATCAGCACTATCAAGATTTACAAAGGACACAATACAGCATCTAGACACAGAAGCCAATTACCAAACATGTATCGAGAATTCAGCAAATCAGCTGATTCAGGAGTTTCAAGATCAGGCTTCCCAGTTTGCTACAACAATTACCCAAGTAAAAGGGAACATCTGATTCTAATGTAATTTGCATCAAGAATCTTCTCCACTTTCTTCATCTTCAGGATCAGAAGGTACTTCATACCTTGGTTGATTGTACTTCTCGCGAAGTTGCTTGATTGGGATGAAATTTCCAGTAGTGTCAGTTCCATAAAATAAAAATGAAACATAAGGGTGATCAAACCTTCCCTGCACAAAAATGGAAATTCTTTTATATACATTTCTTAGTGTATATATGCTAATTATTTAGTGTCTTTTCCAATTCCAGGCTAAATGACTACTTACCAAGTCCGGCTTTTCTGGCGCTAATAGATTCTCTTCAGAAACTGAGACCGGTAGATTAACATGCATCACAATGAAGCACACAGTTAACAAAACATCTCTCAATGCTTTTACTTCTACTTGCAACACAGCCTAACACACACTTCTAGGAGGTGATTAGAGAATGTAAGCAAACGGCTTTATGATAATAAAAATAAAAATAAAAATAAAAAGTTTCCACTGAGAATAGAAAGGGTTAGGTACTATGTGTATAAATTATTGTGATTACTTTGTCCGTCATCATCTGATTTCTTGCTCAAAATGCATGCCATGAGGTTGTATTGCAAATAAAAGAAAATGGGGAAGTAATACAAGAGAGATCCTCTAAAATGCTAACCCAAGAAAGGTTAGAGAAGAATTGGATATGAGAAAAAAAGTCCAGCATACTAAGTTATAGGAAGTATTACCATATGCCACAAGAAGGTCTGGATCTTCATGAACATCTACTAAGACCTGAAATGCAATAAAGAAGTGATTGAGACAAGTAATACTAAGCAATCTTACACCAACAACTACTCTAATCCAAAAGAACAATTCTTCAGTGTATAGTCTGTAACGGCTGAGGTCATCAGAAATTCAGTAAGTAAATGATGAAAAAAGTCTACAAGTGAAGTATGGATGCCTAGAGGGAAAAGTTGCTAGAATAACATCAACAAAAATCTAAGAAATCCTAAATCCAAAGCCCAAGACATTGGTAGTCTGGTATTAATAAAAAATTTATTAGTTACTACTCAAGCTAGGACGATATAGTAGTTTTCCATTCAAAGAAAAGAGGTTGCCGCTAGAAGAGTAAAGTTGTTGCAGCGAAAGGAAGCTTCTTCCAACTTCCATGGGAATGGTAATGAAGGTAGGAAAAAGAGAGAGGAAATATCTTAACCTGATAGAAAGGCTGATTAGAACCATTGGACAAACTTGCAATATTCGCAGCTTCCATCCATCCACTTGATTCACAGCACACTGGATCCATGCCACAAATCACACCCCAGTACCCTGCGTTATGCCCAAGTATTTCAGTAACTGGGATAGTTAGAAAATCAATCACATGTGCAACTTGCTCCTAACTAAGCATTTGCCGACTAAAAGATGAGAATAAACTATTGTTTAAGGATGAAGAATACTTAATAGACAAAAGGCATTTAAACTATTGCACTATCCTACTATATAAGTCTAGGGAGAGCCCCTACAAAAAAGTCCAGGAGTAAAGAAAACTAACAGAACATATGAGAAGCATCAAAATTTTACAAGCATATTACATGTAACATGTCTACATTGTAAACTACCTCTTAACTGGGGGGTTGGGGGGGTCGGTGGGGGAGGGTTACAAGGATGCCAACTTCCAAACCCCATTACTCATTCCTGAACGAGATTAAAAACATAAATAATTTGATCCTTGAATGTCATGTCCTCATAATAAGGGACAAGGATGAATACTGAAGCTACCACACAGCAACAAATTTGACAGTATCTAGGACCTAAACACCCAATACAAGATCACAAATCAAGCAAAAATACATGTCATCTGAAAAGATGATATAACACAAAAACTATGAGCTGTGTTCAATTCACACACCAAATTTCTTATGTCTCACTTTCTGTCCTAAGCGGAATACATACTGAACATTCTCATAAGCCAAAGCATTTGCTGATGCAGCTAGAGACTCTGCCTCTAATTTGGAAATTTCATCACGTAACTCAGCAGCCATGGCATAGTTCTCATTGTCAATTGCGTTCTGTAGTTCAGCACTGTGGGAAGAAAGAAGTTTTGAAATTAGAAGCAAAGATAATTGACAACCCAATAGTAGATAAAATAGGACTCACCGCAATCTCAGTAGACGAATGCCTTGATCCTGAGCGTCAACTTTTGAGGTTGAACCCTTCTTTGTATTCTGCTGCTTGATAACTTCTTCTTCAACCTACCAGAAAATGAGGTACTAAATATGAAAATTCTTCACCATGGAAATTCAAAGACATGAATCCCAAGAAGAAAACCAAGCTATAGACTTAAGAACTGATGTTTGTAGAAATAAAAAATTTCAGTTCACTCCCTCTTATTAAGGGTCACTATACCGCCTTTTGCCATATTAATATAGAAAATTTTTTGCCATTAGCAAATCTGTTCTGTCCCTTTACATCTAATTGAAAACAAACATTTAAATTTATAAAAAAAATACAAATGCATCAAAAACCTAATTTGGATTTGCTTAGACCAAACCAGAAGAGAAGCTTGCAATACACAAAAATACCAAAAGAACCATATATATAATATGCAGCAGAATATGAACAATCATACCTCAGTTAGCCTGGTTCTCAACTGTTGGGCAATATCGTACTGCTCCAAGTTCAGAGCGTACTGAAAAAAAAAAAAAAAAAATCATAAACGCAGTTATAAAATGAGCATTCTTTTCTACAGGACACATAATGTCAATTTCACTTACAATTTCAAAAGATAATAGGCCTACCTAAATGCCAACAGAACTAGAATAATATGCAAGAGGCAAAAAAGGAGCGTATCGATCAGCAAATTGCAAATTGATCTCATGAAGGAAAATAAATTTGAACTTAGTACATCCCTCAAAATTATACAATTCAGATCACCAATAGGGAGATTGATATTGAACACCCAAAATCCAGCCACCCTAGTCTATACTAGTTGCCTTGGCTACAGTTTCTTATATTTCTCATGTGGATGGATTAGCAGATATGATGTATGACTTTACACATGGAAAATTCCCCACTATCAAATAACAAAGTGGGGGGAAATCTGAAAATCCAATTGAAGAGTAATTGAATGAGGCCTACTGAAAATCCAGTTTCAGATGCCAGGTATCATAACTCACTACAACATCAACTATTACTATAAGGTTACCCATGATGCAGGATGTGGATGATTCCCATATTCCAATTCTAAAGACAGTAGATAATAGTATAAAAGATAGATAAAGTAGAACAGTGGATGAGAACAATATTAAACAACCTCACTAAAAAGGTTGGCAGTCAGTTAGCATAGGAATATTAAAGTAGAACAGTGGATGAGAACAATATTAAACATCCTTATAAACAGAGGAATCAGAATACAAATTTCTTGTTAGTTCATATTCTTCTCTGTTCATTTGGAGGGACAGATTCAGCTTGGCAGTCAGTTAGCATGTGATAATTAGCACATAATCTGCAAGCAACAATGATTCAAGCAGTGTTCAACTCCATTAAAGACAAAGCACCAATGCATCAAAAAAATGCAGATAGCACTTCTATGATAAGAAGCAATTCAAGATTACATCTCATTTCTTTTGCAAAGGTGCTTCCAGAGAGAACTACATATGCAAAAAGCTACATATTAGATGATTCAATAACCATTAGAAAGGCAAAATTAGATTGGCAGCCAGTTACTAAGCATCACACTGTTATATAAAGATCATTCATTTGCAGGACAAATGATGTACAAAATGAATATGAAATATATGAGTATAACACAACATCCAGTGAAGCACTGAAGAGTGAACAATCTGCCCCTAAAGTCAACGTAGTCAAAGAGACCAAAAAATAATTTGGTACACAAATAATTACAAGCAAAGGTTACAAACCTGGACCCGGGTTGCCAAGTCCAGCTGGAAAAAGAAAATCAATATATCTTCATTGGCCTTCTCACTATGTTCGATGCTTGCATCCAATCGTTTATCACCCCCACCCCCTTTGAAAAGCCATCCTGCTTCAACCCTCCTGCCTCTTTGTCCTGTGATATAGGATTGTCCTTTGATAAATACATTCTGTACACCACAATTCCAGAGGCAATGTCTTTCAGCCTTATTCAGTAACTGAAATTTCTTCACCGTCCTTAATAGAAGAGTTGATCTATATAGTCCAGTGCTTCCAGGATTCGCCAATGTACTCGTTGACATTCCTTGCACCATTTGTCCAAAGTAAAGATCCTTTCACCTTCAGAACAATCTTGCCTCCACTTCTTAATCTGAAATTACAAATATGCTGCTGCAGCCAAAATAATTGCCACTTCAATATTGAGTCCATGACTACCCAAATGTAGCATACAAATATAAATTTAACCCACAGAAGCACAAATTATTTCATTCAAAAGTCAATCTAAACCCGGTTAGAGACATCTTGAATTCTTGTTGATTACCTAATTTCTCCCTATATTAAGACATGGTCAACCACAGGTATTGAGAGACCTAGGTTGTACATTAAATCGAAAAACTTAGGCTGTAATGTTGCATACATACAAGAGCAATCTCCCATTCTCCTTACCCTGTGAAAAGTAAATAGCAGCTCTAGCCACCATTTTCGGCTAGGAACCTAGCATCAACAATATTAATACATGAACTGATTAAACCCATACCAATCTGTCCAGTCATTCAAAAGACACAAAAAAAAAAAAAAAAAAAAAAAAAAAAAAAAAAAAAAAACCTTCGTATGCTCAACATTTCCGAAAAATAAAAAATGAAATTCACAAGCAACAAATTTCCTACTCTTTTTACGTTTTCAAGTGCCCCATATTGACTTTTGCACTATTCACATACATCCCAACTATTTGACCAATGTTTGAGTTATATACATAATTAAATATATGTGTAATTGTTAAAATCATCTCAATGATGTTTTCCGAACATCAACTTTTTGTAATCTAAACTGATTGATAATTCATTATTTGTCAAAGTTTCGCATTGGCAAATGTGTCGATCAAATTGGGGCATTTAAAAAACCATAGAGGGAGTATAATGTACTCTTACTAATAAGCGGAGATGTCTCTCCTCCAAGTTTTAGCCTGGGCATGAGGGGCGGCCACCCTCGGCCCAGAGAAAAAAGGTCCATTTTCATATGCCTTCGAAGGATTATAATCAAAATTCTGCAATACATTAGCAACCTAATGTCCTAATTTGACTGAATCATCAAATAAGGCTTGAATAATGGCATAAAGTTTTTCTCGCATTAGTAGAGTGCAAATAACAAGATTCTAGCAACAAAATTGCTCGTTATAATCTTGCATAACTCCAGTAATTGTATAAGCAATAATTCGATAATCAACCTATGATGAACCCTAAATTGACTGTACTGACGATTAAATTGACGGTAGTGTAAAACTAAAACCTTGATTGTAAAATGATAATTGAAAAAAGAAAGTAAAAAATAGTATACCTCCGAAGCTGATTCAATGGAGGAGACAAAGGTCAGAAGCTACTTCAATGCATAAAAAAAATACGCTTCAATGGAGGAGAGAGAAAGAGGTCCAGCGTAAAAGTGGAAACTGGAAAGCTCCAAAGAGGATAAAACATGAGAATAATGGCGGAAAATTAATGACACGTAACAGTCACGGCACGAACAAGCCTCACTCGGATAAGTTGGATTAATATCAATATTCGAGTTTCTCCCTGTTTAATACTATCTCCGTTACATATTATTGAAATCGGACGGAAGGAAAGCTCTAATCATTTGAGTTATTCCTCACTCTTTCGCTCTCTAATAACTTGAGTGGATTATTTTATCAAACTATTAGTGCTGTCAAATTTCAAACGAAACCGTTTAACTGCCCGAAACAAACCGATACAAATGAGAACCAAACCGATTAAAAACCGTTTTTTGAAACCGAAAACCAACCCGAACCGTATGTGAATGAACTTGAAACCGAACCAATCCGAATAAGGTTACACCGTATAAGAACCGAACCCGTTAATGAACCGAACTAGTTCTAAGCCGAACTGAATCAAACCGAACCGAAAAAGAACCGAACTGTTTCTAACCCGAAACCGTTTGAACCGGGATAAAAATTGTTTACACCAAACCGTTAACAACCCGCGACCCGTTTGCACCGAACTATATATAAACTAGGGCTGAGCAAAACTACCCGAAAAACCGAAAAACCGAAAACCCGAAAAATCGATCCGTAACCGTTCCGAAAAATTAGGGTACCCGATCTGATAACCATAACGGTTCGGGTACTCGTTTCGATAATTTGTTATTGGGTATGGTTATGGGTATCATTTTAAAATTAACGGTTACCCGATCCGACAAGTATTTTTTTTGCTTTTTTTCCCTACTTAAATCTATTAATATAAATCTAAACTTTTACTTTACTTCATAATCACTTAATAATATTAATAATTAGTAATATTATTAATAATTTGGTCAAGATCATATGGTATTGTTGTTAATTAGTTGTAAATTATATCATAATAACTACATAATTAAGTTTAATTATCATTATTGGATATCTTATAGGGTACCCGATAACCGATCCGAAAATCCGGGTACCCGAAGTCCGGGTACCCGAACTTATCAGTTCCGGTTATGGGTATCACTTTTAGTGATTTTGGTTAACGGGTAACCGAACCGTTAGTACTAACGGTACGGGTACCCGTCCCATGCTCACCCCTAATATAAACCGAACTGTTTATGAACCGAACCGCTTGCAAACCGAATCGTTTATGAAATGGACCGCTTATAACAAATCTAATACAAACTGCTTACTATAAAGATAATATTAAAATCAAGTTAAAAGGTGTTTTAAATGATATTTAATTATCATAGTACTGCCAAACTAATATTTATTGAAATTTTATTATCATAGTATAAAAATATCTTCCTGCCAAATTACTATCATAGTATAAAATATCTTCCTGCCACTAAAAAAATCCTCCTGTCTGCCATAAACTGAACCGAAAAAGAACCGAACCAGTTATAAACTAAATCGAAAAAGAGCCTAACTAATTACAAACTGAACCGAAAAAAAAAACCGAACTAGTTATAAACTAAACCGAAAAAGAACATAACTGATTCTAACCCGAAACCGTTTCCTACCCGAAAATGTTTGAATCGAGATAAAAAACCGTTTGCACCGAACCGTTAACAAACTGCAACCCGTCTGCACCGAACCGTTTACTACCCGAACTGTTTACAACCCGAACCGAATTAAAACCGCTCAAGAAAAAACCGAAACCGAATCGAACCGATAACTATTTAAAACGAACTGAAACCGACACGCAAGACACTTAAACCGATTTCAAACCGACCCGATTTAATACCGAACCGATTTCAAACCGAACCGAACTGTCAAACCATTTTGACAGTGCTGCAAACTATGTTTAAATCCCTCTGTCCCCTTTTATGTGCACCATATGCCTACTTTATATGAAAATCTTATGAGTGATATGATGCAAACATAAAAGAAACAAAGGGAGTATAATTTTAATTGCACAAAATAATAATGGAATAATCTTATTACAAATAAAGAATATTGCATTTGTTGCCTTGTTGGTAACTTGGTACATAGTAAGGTTGAGCACAAATTCCAGACATTCGAAATTGAAATTGAAATTGGTTAAGAATCGGCGGATGCAAAATGGGAATAATAAACCAGGTGGTTTCAATTTTTAATAATAAATTGAGTACTATTTTAGTATTTCATCCATCCTAATTTAACCATCATAAAAAGGTTTGCAAATACACAAGTTTAGGTGATAAAATGTTTGCATGTTTATTAAAAAATTCTTTAGAATCACTTACGCAGTCACCGCACAAGTCTTGGTAATGCAAGTGCATGTTTGGCCTAATCTCAAATCTATTCTACGCCTTCATCATTGCTTATGAGTTCAAGTTAAGCTCATTTAACTAAGCTCCTATTTTTGTAACGACCCATCAAATATTACAGGTTAAGTCGTAAAGGTGATGATGCACGATTTAAAATCTAGCTAAAAGATATCGTAATTTAAAGACGTTGCACAATACTGACACGATACAATAGTAGGCACGGCCCATCAAATACCACTTCTAATGGCCAGACGGAGTTATCTTTTTCATCGGGTCCACTTGTGCACATGGGCACCTCTTATTGGCTCTCAAGCATAGATTGTATCTTCTGATGGGTGTAGAGTTGTAGACAGAAGACAGTTGCTAAGAAAATAAAAACAGTCACGCAAAAAGACGTGAACTACTTACTATCCGAGCAAATAAACCATTGGAATATTCCTATTTACGTAATTACATACAAATTGAAGGCCTTCATTGCAATAAACACAATTTTCTTTAGCCAGACGAACACAAAATAAAATTGGTGGATGCAGTGAATTATAGATAAATATAGTTGGACTCACCTAGCAAAACTCCCTAACTTATCTTACTAATATATAGCATAACATTATATACTCTTCCCATTATATATAGAAATTCATTATTGTTAGTTTGTAACTAGTACAGTTATATTAGTGTTGTAACAAATTGGATTTGGTTTGATAATTATTTGCAAAAAAGATGACATTGTCGTCGGCCAACGGACATGTTTCGTTGTCCATGGCCAGAAGCGTGGCGTCGAGTAAGAGGGACTGGAGAGAGGTGAAGTTTTGCAATGGGGAATTGATGGGGCTGAAATTGAAGAATAATTCATCCAAACAAACTCTTCAAGCTAACAAGAAGGCGGTTCGGCGACGTGTGTGCATGTCGCTTGCTACTGATGTTGCTTCTGTAGCTAAGGTGCACTACTAAGAACTAATAACTCTACTACTAGGAATAATTTGTTTATCTGTTTTAGCAAAAGTAAACCACTTGAAGAACTATGTTAATTTGGTTTCCGTTGTACTGTATCCCATATTCCCATGTTAGCCATGTATTCATACATTAGCATTGTTTTATTTAAAACTAAATATTTATTACCAAGCATTAATTGAATAATGATATATGCAACCTTCTATATAAAAGAGTGTTTAAAAAAAAACATTAATTATACCGATCTATTTGTGTTTTGTCATAAATTCTCGCATTTATATTACTACCTCCGTTACAGATTATGTGCAACGATTTGACATAAAGCAGAGAGGGAAAATGTCTAATCGTTGCACATAACCTGTAACGGAGGTAGTATATGTCTAGTAATGCTTCAATATTGATTAAAGGTACTCCGTAATTTATATGGAGGTACTCCGTAATTTATATGGAGGGCCATGTTCTCTTAATTTATATAGAATGTGAAGTTATTTTTGCTAATTTTGATTTATTTTTACAGAATTAAACTTATTTTACTAATTTACTATTATATTCTTATTCTTTGAACTTAATGATTTTTACTGATTAAAATTTGTTTTTTCTATACTCAACCTGTATACAGTTTTTTTTTTTTTTTTTAAGGCGAAGAGATGATGGCAAACATTTAGTACAAAATTGCGCTTGATCATTGCCAAACCTGAAAATGTTTTGGTCAGGCCAAAATACTTTGCATGAATAGTGATGGCATAGGTTTTGTGATTTTATTAGTGAGTTTTTTTTAAGAGTGCAAACGAATGGGTTAGCATTGTTGTAAGATATGTAATCCTTGTGATATCATGTCTTATCAGGATTAGAAAATTCTGAAAGATTGCAAGATAATAGATATAATACTGTTACTTTTTAGTTGATATGGGTTTACCCTGATAATCAAATCTGAAATACAGCTTAAGGATGTTGAACAGGAGAAAACAAGCGCAAAATCTGTAGCAGCGATAATATTGGGAGGGGGTGCAGGCACTCGTCTTTTTCCATTGACAAAACGTCGTGCAAAACCAGCAGTGAGTAAATATTCCCTTACCTGCTTCTCTTAATTCAACAGAAAAGCTGAAACTCAATATCGACAGGTTCCCATAGGAGGAGCATACCGGCTGATAGATGTACCAATGAGTAACTGCATAAACAGCGGCATCAACAAAATCTATATTCTGACACAATTCAACTCTGCCTCTCTCAACAGGCACCTTGCTCGAGCTTACAACTTTGGCAGCAGTGGCAACTTTGGAGATGGCTATGTTGAGGTTCTTTACCACCACCTGGCATAATACTTGTCTATTACAAAAAAATTTATGTATGCGCCACTCAAAACAAGATAATAAAATTTAGGAAAATTTGTCAGGAACAACCTTTTAAAGTGTCCATTTTATTAAAAACAACCTTTTAAATTTTTTTTTGCAATTTCAGACCACATTATAAAATTTTTTTACCAAAAACAACCAAATGTTACTTTCCGGCGTTGACTCTATTTTTCCCGATGTTGACCACGAGTGTGCGAGTCACGTGACCTCCAATATTGCTTAATACACCCCTTTTTCCTCTAATTAATTCCTATTAAAACCCTGCTTTTCTTTCATCCCTCTTTTAGTACGAGTGAATTGGAGGGAAAATTGGTGTATTAAACAATATACGAGTTCATGTGCGTTGCACAGTAGTGGTCAACATCGGGAAAAATAGAGTCTAACGCCGGAAAGTAACATTTGGTTGTCTTTGATAAAAAAAATTTAAAATATGGTCTGAAATTGCAAAAAAAAATTTAAAAGGTTGTTTTAAATAAAGTGGACACTTTAAAATGTTGTTTCTGACAAATTTTCCTAAAATTTATTTAAGGATAATAGATTCATTCCCTTGCACATACCAAACACAGAGCCAAAAGATCATTAATACAGCTTTAACATTGTGGCTATTTCAATATCAAACACAGTTTCTGTAAAGCAACTCAAGCTACAAATAAAATTACTTCAAATTGAGTTGCATCATTCATTCTAATAGATTATGTAGCTCACTCTATAGAGAAACCATAAACAACTTTGTAATATTAGGGAGCATTCTATTCATCTAATTTTCATTTATTTGAACTTTTTAATAGTTATTTGAACTTATTTTATACAAGTAGTAAATTAAACTTGAGTTTCCCTTATCCAAATATATGTTCCCTGAAATAAGTGGGAAAAAAGGCGAACAAAACAGTCTTATCCCCTCTGTCGTAGATCAAATTAGATCAAAAGAGAAAGCAATCAAAGGGAACAATAATGTGGAAACCTGACTACATAGTAGATGAATTTTCATTTCTTCAGGTTCTTGCTGCCACACAAACTCCAGGTGATGCAGGCAAAAAATGGTTCCAGGGTACTGCTGACGCTGTAAGGCAATTTGGCTGGCTTTTTGAGGTACATATCTTCCTCCTATTAGTAAATTGAGTTGAGACTTACATGTGAAAATAGCATATTGAGTTTCCACACATAAAACAGGATCAAAGGAGTAAGGAAATTGAGGATGTTCTGATTCTTTCTGGAGATCACTTGTACAGAATGGATTACATGGACTTCCTCCAGGCAAGTAACTCTGTACTCTGCTATCCTCCCACTTTTATAAATCAAACTTCTATCAAATAGAGATTGCTTCAATTGCTACTTCCAAGAATGCATATTCCTGTAAAATACAAAAAATGATACATTTTTCCAATTACAGAACCATCGCCAAAGTGGAGCTGATATCAGTATTTCTTGCCTGCCAATGGATGACAGGTATCTTTTTCTGGGATCAAGAACTAATGAAGTTCAGCACATTTACTTTCCACATTTAGCACATGCATAATCTAAAAAAACAAAGCAGAACAGAAACCTAAAAATTCACTCATTGCAGATTATATATAGCTGATTCTGTATTTCTTTGTAGCCGTGCCTCAGATTTTGGTTTAATGAAGATTGATGACAAGGGGAAAGTTTTGTCCTTCAGTGAGAAACCTAAAGGAGAAGATTTGAAAGCTATGGTAGCACTTGTAACTCAAACAGTAGCATCTGATTCTTAAGTATATAATAAGGATATGAGCTAATAACATTTATATGTTTCAGGCAGTTGACACAACTGTTCTAGGACTATCAAAAGAAGAAGCTCAGATTAAACCCTATATTGCATCTATGGGTGTATACATATTCAAAAAAGAAATACTTCTTAACCTATTAAGGTAAAATGTACAGCTCCAATTGCTTTCCAAGTTTCTAAGCTTATATATGTTTTGAAGATAGGAATACACTTGAGTACAAGCTTAGGGGGGCGAGACTGAGCACTGTGGCTTTTTTTGGTTACTCAGATGGCGATTCCCAACTGCAAATGACTTTGGATCAGAAATTATTCCAGCTTCTGCTCGAGAATACTACACCAAGGTACAATATCAAGCTCTAGAAACAAAACAATAAGAAGTATACCTCCATAATTCACCTAAAGAAGCAACAACATGCAATTTTGACAAATAATTTGAACACAATAAGCAAAAGCTAATCCAACTATAGTATGTGATGCTTTGGCTACAACTTAAATTGCTCAAAATCAAGTCTGCTTCAGCTTTAATTCTCATAGAGATATATGTATGCAGGCTTACCTTTTTAACGATTATTGGGAAGATATTGGAACAATCAGGTCCTTCTTTGAGGCAAATCTTGCCTTGACAGAACATGTAAGTGTTGATGTTGAGGTTCATGTATGATACCTGTACTGGCTTTATAAAAAGATAATCAACTCCTCTTTATTTCTTTCTACATTTTAGCCTCCAAGATTTAGCTTCTATGATGCAGACAAACCAATGTACACATCAAGGAGAAATTTGCCTCCTAGCAAGATCGACAATAGCAAGGTTAATTGAATATCTATAACTCAGTTTATACTCACTCAGTTTACACTTACAAGGTGGTAAACATAGTGAACAAAATATTTAACATTTTTTATTAAAGAAAAAGGATAGAAAGACTTACCTTTATTTTGCTTCTTTAGGTTGTTGACTCGATCATATCCCATGGAAGCTTCTTGAACAATTGTTTCATAGAGCATAGTGTGGTTGGAATCCGATCTCGCATCAACTCTAACGTCCACTTAAAGGTCAGTAATGGAGATCTACTTCAGCATGTACTCCATCTGCAACTTCTTGAGTACTGATAATAGAATATAGTTCACTGCAGCTATTTCTAAAAGTCTAATGTTCACAATGTCTAATTTTACCCACTATAAAAATATTATGTTTTCTCCTGCACCAAAGAGTATATAATATCCCCCTTCGCACGATATTCCTTATATACAGCACATGACAAACTCTGATTTTCACCAATCCATTTAGAATGAATACACATTCCATTATTCCAGGAGATAGTGAAGTGGACAGGATGTAGGAATTTGAGAGTCCATTCCAAGCAATGCTATTTCATACTATTCAGTCATAAACAGCAGTTATAAACCCTTCCTTATGCTTCAAAGTTTAAACCAAATAAACATATTTAAGAACTGATGTCTCTCAGATAATATGGTTGCAATTAGTGACACAGAAATGGCTTTGCAGAATGACCTTGTATGATTGTTAGACTCAGAACTCTGAAACCCCTTACTCCACATGATGCAGGATACAGTAATGCTCGGTGCTGATTACTATGAGACAGACGCTGAGATTACATCACAGTTAGCTGCGGGAGCTGTTCCCATTGGAATAGGGGAAAACACAAAAATCAAGTACAAGACATTCTCTCATTTCTGTGTTTCCCCTCTATAATCATCAAAAAAATAAGATTTACTCATTCTTTCTCACACTATTTCCTTCAATATTTTTCAGGGATTGCATCATCGACAAGAATGCCAGGATTGGAAAAAATGTTATAATTTCAAATACAGAGGTAGAATCACCTATTCACCTCATCTTTTCTTTTGTTCCACCAGTTCTGTAAACTCCATATTAGCAATCACCAGTGACAATAGTTGCAACAAGGAAAACTAATTTTTTATTTCTTTGCTAAACACACTGTATGTAAATAATGTAGGGGCATAGTTAATAGTCTTAAAGAAATGCCAAATGGCAACAAAAACAAAAAATCATTCCCCTTCCCCATATGTGTAGCCTAATAAGATAAGAATCACAAGATACTTCTTTTTTCCCTCATGGGCAGAAGTGACTTCAATTTCAGTCCAGAACAATGTGTAAATGATGGTTAAGCTTCATTAACATTCTCAAGAAGAAAGGAACGCAAATTTATTCTAATCAGTATTTTTGGCAGGATATTTATTCTACACTAAATATATACGTAGTAATATACATCTGATTTTACAATCCTCCTTTTTTACAGGGGGTACAAGAGGCAGACAGAACATCTGAAGGGTTCTATATTCGTTCTGGCATCACCGTCATATTTAAGAACTCAATCATCAAAGATGGGACTGTAATATAACAAATAATACCCCACCAAGCCCTTCTTCCAGGAAGAGATATGAAGATGAAGACCCAAAAATTATGTTAAAGACCATGGAGCATCAGGGGAGAATTTTTTTTGTCTGCATGCTGAGTAATGTCATGGAAACTTCAGTAGCAAGTGAAAAGGCTACATTATTCGCCAACTGTCAAATTTTCCAATGGGAAACCAAAAGGCCAAATTGTTCTTTATAAGTCATTGCTTAGTCAAAGAAGAGTACATACAACTCAATAAACTTCTAGTAGCTAGAAAGTATTAAAGTTACAACCATTTTCAACACTCCAAAAACAAGTGATTAATCGTTTACACTAAGAACATATCTACACATGCAAATCTATTACCAATATGTGATTTGATAGTGTCATAGTGCATCATACATTTGCTATCAAAAAACAACTAAGATTAAGCCTAGCATTCACATGCACATGTGGTAGAAAAAGTGTAATCAAATGAATGACATAAACAATGAAAGCTTTAATATTTCTTAAATGCATTTTATTATAGCGCTTTGCACCCAAGTATATAGAATACTACAAGCAACAAAAGGGGGAAATTTTTTTTAAAAAAAATACAAAGAAAAAAAAGCAAGATATGACTAAACACAATACATTGAGCTATCACAGGAAGAACTCTTCACAATGAAACTTCAATTCATGTTCAAAACGTTGCAAGACAAAATATTCCTCTGGAGCTATAATACTTGTTACAATGCATTTGTCGTCTGAGAATGGTTTCCTACCTGCCCTCCCAGCTCTATGTAGATAGTGCACTGCACTTTTTGGCAAATCAAAGTTGTATATATGTGTTGTCTCTGGAAGGTCAACTCCCCTTGCTGCTAGATCCGTCGCCACAATAAGATAGCAATTTTTTTTTCTAACCTCCTGAAATTCATGGATGAGTAATAAGCTTGTGAGATTCATAAAGAGCAAGGGCAGCCAAAACCAAGCAACAACGTTTGGCCAAGAATTTGAAAGAATAAACAGGCAGGAAGCTATGTAGAATTAGCATAGATGCTTATATACAATTATATATGCCCCAATATATTCACTAGATCTAAGTTATGGTTAATAACAATAAATAATAATAGCTAACGTGATGTCTTTATTGATGGTTAAGCACATCATGTTACTGTATCTGCTTCAATTTTAAACTGGAGGATAAGCTTTTTCATGACATAAAACCAACATTGTCCATTTGTTCATGAGACATTTCAAAACACCACTTCATCAGCCCACATAATATACAAAAGCATTGGTAAAACACACAAATTACAAGTTCGCTTATGAGTAATGAGACTTCAACTTTGCAATGTCACACGTTAGAGAAGAGACTAGAAACCAGATACTATTCCTAATAATCAAACAAAACTCATAAGGACATACCAAGAGAGAAGCCGCTCGAGAATTAAAATTCTGGTCTTCCTCGAGAAGTGAAATGTTGGAAAATTCATCACACGAGCTTTTTAAATGCTCAATCAGCAGAGTAGTTGTCGGTATATCTCCTGCCTTTTTTGACTTTTCAGACTTCAAACAATAGAATCAACACTTTAGGAACCTTTTTACAATATTTATAACAATTAATTACCATATCTTCTGCAGCAATTACAATACACTCAACTTAGATTGCCAAACATTCCAAGTTTTTATATTTTCTTTTTAAACACCCCCCTCTCTCTTCTATGATTTCTATTTTTTTTAGAATAAACATAAACATACAGCTTCTCTGCTACTTCAAAAGAAAGGGTTCAATTATATTTCCTCAGTTTTTTAGCTTGTTCCACTTTGACTTTGTGCATTGTTCATTTGTTCATATCTCCTACTTTAACCAATTTATTTTACTTATACACAGATTATATTAAAACAAATGTTGTATTTGTTGGAAATTTTCTAGTAAACAAGGGTCACAAAGAAATGGAAATGAAATTATTGGAAAATACTTCGAGGCGTGAACAGGATCACTTTCCGAAAAGTATAATTCCGACCCTATACTACAACCGGGTATCACGGAAATACTCAGGAGATACAACAAAGAACAATTACCATCACTTGTAGGATGATAGCAATTCAATGTATAAAAGTGTTTGTGATTTTGTGAAAATGAACAACTGATAATAACTCCCTATGCCAAAGGGATAAGATAGAAATTATATTTCATCTCACAACTTATATTTCATCTCACAACTTTCATCCATCATATGAGTTTCTCATATATATAAGATAGTAGCTTAGTATCAAACGTAAGAATGCATTAAGTCAAGCATTAAACAATGCTTTAAGTTATGCATTGAACAACGTATTAAGACACACATAAACAACGCATCAAACATCAAATGTTAAGAGATGCATTAAACAATGCATTAATACACTAAGTTATAATGCATTAAGTATGTAATTGCCCAACTAAATCAAGAGAAATCAAAACTGAAACAATAAGTAGTAACGGTTGCAATAATAGTGACGAATCAGCCATTTTCTTCCTTTCTCTTAATTAGTTGTATACTACTACTTTAATCATTAGTTGTCTAAGTAATGACACCTTAACCAAATGACTTAAACTTAACATAATATGAATAATCAATTAAATACTCTAAATTATCCAACAGTATTGCGAAAACAGTAGCTCACTTTTACAATCTGTAAAAACATTAACATAAAAACATAACATAAACAATGCCAACCTGTTCATTGACAAAAAGTATGGCAGACTCGGGCAAATCGAATTGCAGCAACGACAAAATAGCTTGAAATCTCTGAGTTCTTGGACAAATCTATTAAAAACAACTTACACCCAATTCAGAAGAGACATAGCTATGCATAATACAAGAGAGAGAGACAAAAAAAAAAAAAAGGGAACAGATACAATTATGGAAATAAAGGTAATTATATTCAAAATTGCGGTTCACAAACAAAAAAGCAACCTAACATGCTTCATTCACAATTTGTCAAAGTTTGATTCATTTTTATTAAAGCCCTTGATTCCGTTAAAACAAACATAGACTTACGTTGTTTGATGGCTCAACAGGGTTTCAGAAAATTAACCTTAGAAACTACCGTCTTATTTCATAGCCATCTCAAAGGTTTATCACATCAATCTCGGCTATAATTCATTTTTGTCCTTTCAACTAACTGATCCGCAAAAAATATTGCAAAAAAAAATGAAATGGTGACAAGTGTGACTTCAAGGGTTACAGCAAACAATTTTCCTCAAAGCTCAGTAGGCCTAATGACCCTTTAATGGGAATTCTCAAGGAATCAGCCTTGGGGATCTAAAACTGGTCTCAGATAGCACCTCGTACTAACTATGGCCAACTAAGTGACTCGAAAAAGATATTATGCATCTAATTGATCTAAGTCACTTATCTCTAAAACTCTGCAGCAAGAGGGTAATAAACTAATAATGGTCTATTTTAGCTTCATGGAGAGTTTTCACCATCAAAGTAGGGCTAGTTGCGTCAACATTCTAATAGTCGCAAAGCTCAAATATATTAGTTAAAAAGTTACAAAAGTAATTAAAATAAAACTACTCAACTAATAACTATAAGGCATTTTCAAGGCTTGCAATATGAACAAATTGATAAGAAAAAAATGAATTCAAAATTCTTGTGCCATGGCAATGAAAGACCACTGATTCACTGAATTGAAAAAACAATTCGATAGAGCTTAATCATATCCACTGGTTTGTTCCCTAAGGTTAACATAAAATTCTGGGACAATTGTGCTTTAGGTGAGAGTTTGGATCACATGAACTTATACCCAAAATGAAAAAGGGGTAAAAGAAAATTTTAGTGCAGTAGGGAGATAACTTTGTGTTTGACTCATAAAGGAAACAAGAATAAACAGACGGAAAGAAGAACGAAGAAGATGGTAACAGCTTGGGAATCAAAAATATTATAATGCTTTACAGCAATTAATGAAGGAATAAAACCAAGAAATGAAGAGGTTTGAAACTGTCACTATCAAGAAGAAAATCACATGATGACACCTGTTTACACAAATTTCGAGTCTAAATAAATAAAGACGGGAAATAAAGTAACAAATGAATTTATATTAATACTAGTTTTGTGCCCCGTGCGATGCCCGGGTTGTTTATTGAATTATAAAATAAATTTTTAATCTTTATACGATTTGCTAGATTGTGAAGTATATTATTTTAACCGATTAGTATATATTATAAATGCATGTTTTACGCTTTGAACTGTTTCCTTTGCCCAAAAAAATATTATGATACAAAAAATAATTTATTAATTTTTAAGAATTATAATCTAATAATTTTTTTAATAAAATTATAATTGAATTTGTACATTTGAAATATTGGTATTTTATTGAAAATAAAACTAATTTTATCCTAAAATTTTATCCAAATAGAATTCTAAATTAACTTTTTTATTTATCTATTTAAATCTATCCAACGTGGCGCGACACTTGACATTCACTTGGCAAAAAGTTAGAATGCCAAGTGTCGCAGCCTTGTGACCTGGCTAAAAGTTTAGCTTCATATATTAAACTAATTTTATCTTAAAATTCTAAATTAACTTTTTTTTATTCATCTTATGAGGTCTATTTAAATCTATCCAACGTGGCGCGACACTTGGCAAAAAGTTAAAACGCCAAGTGTCGCAGCCTCGTGACCTGGCTAAAAGTTTAGCTTCATATACTAAACTAATTTTATCCTAAAATTCTATCCAAATGAAATTCTAAATTAACTTTTTTATTTATCTTATGAGGTCTATTTAAATCTATCTAACGTGGCGCGACACTTGGCGAAAAGTTAGAACGCCAAGTGTCGCAGTCTCGTGACCTGGCTAAAAGTTTAGCTTTATATATTAGTTATATGATGTGATTTTTGGGTACAATCTTTGTATAAAAGTTTATAATAAAATAAACTAAGTCCTCTAATTCTGTTCCGCAGCTTGACGATGACACGTGTGTGACACCTATAGGTTGATGTTTGATGACGTCAAACTTGAGTTTGAATGCAGGGTGACGTTTGATGATGTCAACCTGTATTTAAGGGTTTTGTTTGAATACACCTAAACAAGTCGGCACGAGTTTGATGTGCTTGTTGACTTACTTCAGAGAGAATTCCGTTTGAGTTTTATGAGCTCTTGGAATAATGATTTTTGGATCCTCTCAAATGGAGGAATGGTGTATTTATAGGAGATGAGAACTCCTTGAGTGGACTTAGTAGGTTTGGGCTTGGCCCATTTTATGACGTAGAAGTCTTTTAACCTGGGTCCATTTAATTTATTTTATAACCCGAATTGTATTTAATTAATTCGGATTATTTATTTAGGTGGGCCAAAATTAATTAAAATGGATCATTCATATGATTTAACCCAAATTAATTTATTTAATTTAATGTATGACACTCATAAAATTTCCGTGTCTACAACACCCATAAAATTAGAAATAATAGTCATCTCCTATAATCTATATCTATAATAATCTATAATCTATAATAATAATATTATAAAAACTCATAGGGACAACATGTTAACGCCATGTGTCAACCTTCCTTCAATATGATTTGGTGCCACATGTGCGCCATCCCTCTTCTCTCACCACATTGAATTGTAGTTATATTTAGTCTCTTTGAAAAACTCTTCATTGGCGTAACTTCAATTCTCTATAATAATGTTTAATTTAAAACTCTTCATATGTACAACCTCCCTATTTAAATTTGATATATCTTCTATATATTAATTAAAGATGATATAAATCATTAAATCTTCATTCACCTATTAACATTGTTCAAGATCAACCCTTCTTAATCAATTTTAATCAAATTATAAATTTATGAAGATCCGGGGCATCGCCCGGGCCAATAACTAGTTTATCATAAATAGAAGAGTTATCAAGCTAGTTGGAATTAAAACAAAAAAATTGGAAGTTTCAAGAGGAATTCATTATTTGGATGCACACCCAGTCCGGGCTTTGCTTGATCAACTGGAAGAACTTTCACTAATCCAGTATTTCTTCACAAAAATTGATGATGCATTTGTTCCCAATCAGGCGAGTAGTGAGCTTGCCTGATCACCAAGCAAAGCTCCTAAGCAGCCTTTGAAAGTTCATTAATCCAATACCTCCCATGTTAATAGATAATTAATTTCTAATATAATGTTGTTCCAAAAAAAATCCAACAGAGAAATCAAAATAAAAAGTTCACTATTACCATGTATCTATGATGCAAGCGTGAAGGCATTGGTTCAACTGCATTTACATGGACATGGACTACATTGCTCTGCCAAAAGAACAAAGATTGCACAAGTGGCAAAAATACCTTTACATCACTCAAAATGAAGCAATTATTCAAATTAGTCTATAAAACTCAATTAACCAACCTTGGTCCATTTCTGCTGCACACAATCATACAGAAAGTGTCTATGCTGAGGAATAGATGCACTGGCAAATACAGTTTGACGAGAACGGCTTGATGAATATGAGGTGAGCAACTTCCGCAGGGAACTAACTTGTTTAGAGGAGTTAAACATGAAATCAACCTAATATATATATATATATATATATATATATATATATATATATATATATATATATATATATATATATATATATATATATATAATTAAAATAAAAAAATAAAAACATAAGCTTCTATTCAAATTATAAAGTGCATTATTAGTGATTAAAACCAGAAAGCAATTTTCAGACTCGCAAATATAAGAATAGAAACATTCCTGGATGTGTCATAAAACTAAGGTGTGACAAGAAATAACTAGTCCATTAAACAGATCCATTTGTGGAAGTGCAAAGAGTGCTATCAATAATCAGCGAAAGCACATTGATGAAATGCAAGGAAATTCCCCTAATGGTCTATTCAGAAACTATCATTTCATTTCAAATGATAGAATTGTCCCAAACAGCCTATTTTGGAATTATAAGAATATGCATTTGGTCTTTTTGGATAATTAAGTTCATTTTATGGAATCTAAAATCCAATTTCAATTGATGTCATTTCAAATGCTTCAAATCATTGACTGCTTAACCATCGCTGCTACCACAGGAGTAACCATCACCACCTTCTAAATGACCTCCAACGCTTAACCACAGCCGTCGCGTTGACCATCTTTGTTGCCACTGCCTTCACCTGCGTGAAAATTCTCCCCATAACCACCTCCACCATCGCTAAAACAAACACCACCATCTTCCTCCCCCAAAAAAACCCAAAATTTAAGATCTTCAAATCAATCAAACTGAAACTCCATTAAACCTTAAGTCCTTAACAATGGTGATTGAATTCCCTTAAAATTAGCTTACAATACAACCTTAAAGTCTGGATTTTGATTGGTATGGTATTACAAGGATCGTAGTGAACCTAGTCGTAATTACTAAAGAGAATATTAGGAAGACAGAGAGTTAGAAGGAGAGAAAAGAAGCTGTCGGCCACAAACTCTTGCTGCTCCTTTGTCACTTTATGGCCTTACCTTCATACATTCTGCAATTTTTTTTAATTTTTTTTTATTTTTTGGTGATTTTTTCAGCGATGATGAAATTCCAGTGTTTAAAATTCCAGTTTATCCCAAAACGAACAATTTGGAATTGAAAACCAGTATTTGAAATTCCAGATTTAAAATTCTAGGCTCAAAATGAAATGCTTGAATCTGAACCCTACCTAAATGTATTTTTAAAACTCTCGGCAGCCTCAATAATCAGCATTTTAACTCCATACAGGCTGCTCACACATAGTGACCACGATCGACAACACATTAACAGCCTATTCACCTTTCTGAATTTCCTGAGTGCTAGGTTGAAATGGAGATGTGACAAATGTGAGATGTCTCAGGAAACAGTAAGTTCATATGATTATGGTACATTGGCCATAGACATATCTCACAATCCTGGATTACTATTTGGTAAAGAGGACTGAATTCAGAGTTGATCCAGAAATCATTTCTATTACCTCATCGATTACCAGCACTCTCATTGATCCAAGATCTAACACATGTTTCTCAAGCATCTGACACAAACTTGCCACTGTAGCCACCACTATGCTTGGGGGATCTGCCTGAAAAATAGAAAGATATAAGTTCATTTTTTGAGGTGATAATGTGAAAGTTGAACTGGTGAGATTCTAGTTGAAGAGTAAATTTCGATAATAATCAAGTTTATAATACAGAATACCACACTTTAATCTGTAATGCTTAAGAAAAACAACTGAATGTGAAACCTCTTTATGTTAAAATTCATATTATGCTCAAATGTAGAATATTTGAGATTGAACAGATGGATAGGCACCTTTAGCCAAGTTTTATGTCTTTTCAACAGTCCTCCATCTAAAAGGGCCATGACTGTGCATGATTTTTGCTGCTCTGATCCAAAATCTGATGGCTTTGCAGCAAGCATTCGTGCAACTTTTGTAACCTTAAATATCAAGAAAAAACAACATCAGCAATGAAGTACAAAAGTTGATTTGCTATGATGGAAAAAATTTCAAAAACCATGTCTGCTGAGAAGAAAAAATGTTTAGCAACATGACATAAAAAAATAAAATAAAAAAATAAAAAATAAAAAGGCTGACTTTCTGGGTCAAAATAATAAATTGAATAGCAAAAAAACATGCATAAAATCATCTTACTTGCATACCAAGCTCCCTTGTTGGCACTACAATTAATGCTTGAACAGCAGATCTTTGAGCATTGATTATTGAATATACTAAAAGGAGGTATGTCAAGGTCTTCCCAGAACCTGTCTAGAGACAAATAAAGACATATATGAGGTTGATTGGCCCAAAAATAAACAAATAAAAAAAAAATTCCTGTGATTGAGATAATGACATTAACTTCTTACTAACTCAGAAGAATTTAATGACAGTTATAAAATCAAATGAAGTTATGGAATTTTCTCAACGTGGGCTATATGTAGATTGATAAAGGGAGCACCTCAATGCATAGAAGAACTGTTCAAGTGTTTAGGCTTTACAGCCAGCTTAGCTAATTTATTGCCCAATATTTCCAATATCCATCTTCTTAAGGTACACCTCAAGATCTTTCCAGAGCATAAAATCCTTTTGCTTTATTATTCATTACTTGGCAATCATTTGGGGAAGAAGTTTGCATAGACATGTAGGCTATAAAATCACAGGATGATGCAAATATGTAAGTAATAAAGGCATATGAAGCTTGATACTGTTCTTTCAATAGTAGCTTCAACATAAAAGTGTGATAAATTCATCTATTCTAATTCCAGTGGGTTATATACTTATGTGTGATGATTGGTGATCGTTTGTTTGAGTGACACAATAATAATTGGCCCTAATGTAAATTTTTGAGTCGCTATGAGTCTAAGATGTTGTCACTTCTGTAAATCCTTTACTAGTTTTAAAGTTTCCTTAGTAACCATATCTATATGGAAGGCCCAAATAAATGTCATTTTGAGGATGAAATCTTAGTTTGTTGATGATAGCTTGTGAATATATCAACTCCATCCATCATGTTCAAAACTGCAGACACATTCAGTCATAATGGTCACTTCTACGCTTTCCCTCAAAAGATTAAGCAAGAAAGTTAGCATAAATTATCTGAAAAGTTGCATCTCAAGTTCTTTGAGGTCATAGAGAGTTCACGCTAATATAGAAGAGACAAGAAGGATAATCACACCAAAGATCACAAAGTAATAAATAAAGTCACATGAAATCATGAAATTGTTCAAAAGGTGTATGGATGTAAAAACACTTTTAATAAAATTGTTTGTAGCTTATCAGTCTATTAGGTAGGAGCCCCATAAATGCAAGTGCACAATGGTCTGCTTGGATTGTCTATGGGCTCTATTGAGGTTTTGAGTCATTTGGGACTTGAAGTTGACATTAAAATTTTGCGTCAAAGCACCTCAAAAGTAGCTATCTAGCTTAACCTCGGTTTCATTTTTCAAGGCTAAGTTTCATATTTTAACCTCATTTTTAACTAGCTTTGACTAGTTTAGGAAGTTTCTAAGGCGTGAACCCCTTACAATCTTACATTATAAAAATATTTTAAGGACTGTATTTGACCCTTGTAAATTTGTAATAGAATTGAGACACATGGAAACAATCTTCTAAAGTAAAAAGCTTGTAGGTCTTGTGATAAGGCACTGTAAAGATTATGAATAGGTTTAGCCTAATAATATAATTATTACATGGAGAAAAATAAATTTCTGCAAAGATTTTACTTTGATCTCCTTCATCTCCACTCTACAATTTAACAATTTTAGTGGTCAAAAGCCTGTAAACAATCCCAGGTACTTGCTTATCAAGCTGGGAATCGGGGATGATAAGAATATTAGTCCTCTTTATTATCTTAGCAAGAATTTTTCGTTTACGATCTCATCTCATACATTTTTTTTGGACAGAAGCATTCTATTCTAGTTTAAGTGTGTGTTATAAAGTACATCCCATTGAGAAATGGAACAAACAGGAAATGAGGAGCTATTATAGATTGTAAATCATAAATATCATCAAAGGGAAGACATGACAGAGGCAGAAAAGTGACCTGAGCATGCAGTACACAGTCACAACCAGTGAAAAGTACAGGAAGACCTTGTTGCTGCACTTCTGTTGGTTGAATAAATCCATTTTCATCCATCCTATGGCATTCAGAAAAAGAATTTATAGTCAATCAACCAATTAAATCCATCATTTTAACTCAAAGCTCCATTTTCGATCCTGATAAGATAATAGGTTCGTCGAACATTATACACCAGCAAAATCCTAACCCTTTCTAACATTTCAACAAGTCTTAATAAATTACAAAGGCTACAGTTGCACGTATAATAGCTTGGTAAAGGTGAACAGACTATTTTCCTAAAAATAAAAAATAAAATAAAATAAAAAAGGTTGATCAAATGCAGAACCATCGCATAAAAATTCCACGCCGAATAAGCTCTTTAGTCGAACCCGTATCCACCTTCCACATCTAAATTTCAAAAACAAAAGTCTTAGCTACATGCCTAAATCCAACCAAATTGTGAAAAACATCCAACAAAACTGAAATATATTTTCTTTTCTCATATCAATTTCCACTAATAAAAGTTACGCAAATAACACATGAATTCAAAAGCGCTTTATAAAGAAAATTTCAAAGCCCTTCATCTATTTCTCATTTCACATTACTACTTCAATCTACTACATCTACCATTTAACTTCAAAAGCATTAAACTCTCAAAACAGAAAGGATGAAGATAATAACCTGCGGAGCACAGGCTCAGGCACATGACCTTGACAAAGTTCGCGAAGAGTAACAGCACATCGAAATTGAACAACAGAAGCTCCAATTGCAGGAACAGGATTGACAGATGTAGCAGTTAAAGTGCGGATTCTAGGGAAAGGGCTAAATAATTTACCGGACCGTCCCCGAGTCAAGGCAGGAGGGAAACCCACCCTAGGTCCGATGAGAAAAGGTCCATAGTCATACTTCCATCCTAACATTGAATGATTACAAACAATATTCTGCAACACAGTAACAACCAAATATTACTCAATTGCCAAATTAGTCTCAAAATTCACATAAAATCAAGAATTTCAACATATAATTGCATAAAGAAAAGGTTACAGTAGCAAAATCGCTAGTAAAAATTGTTCATAACTTGAGTAATTTATAACCAATAATTGCATAATCTATATTAGAAGAACCCTAAATTGAGTAAATGACAATTAAATTAAGGATAGTATGAAAGTAAAGTAGAGATTGTGAAATTGTTATTCGATTATTTTGAAAGAAACACTGTTCATAAGGAAATAGATAGAATAATAGTTTACCTAAGAAGCTGTTTCAATGGAGGAGAAAAAGGTGAGAAGGAAGTTCAACAGGGGAACACAGAATACACTTCAATAGAGATCAGAGAAAACGGAGTGCGCTTCAATGGAGGAGAGAGAGGGTGAAGCGTAGAGCAGTAGAGTGAGCTGAAAAACGACTTTGGGGCCATTCTCATTTACTGAATTGAAATTAAAACTAAATGAATATTTTATAAGAGAAGAAAATTAGTAGCTAAACTGAACTGAACTTCAACGTAATAGAACAGACCCTTATTAAAATTCAATTAGTATTAGAGCATCAGCAATAAAGAGTGTGCAACAATCCTTTCCTAATTTCTCTCTCCTTTCCTCCACTTGACACATCACACTTTCTTTCTTCCACATCACTTCCCACTAGGGGTGTACATAAACAGGACCGGACCTGAAAACCGACTTGATCCGGACTTGTTGGGACCGGACCTGACCCGCACCTGTAGATTCAGGTCCGGTCCCGGTCCTTAAAATTCAAGGTTCCCGGTCCCGGTCCGGATCAGGTCCAAACCCGGGGTTTTCAGGTCTGGACCTGAAACCCGGTAAAAATGTATTTTTTTTTAAAAAAAACTTTTTTTTTCCCAAATATCAAAACAAGAAGTCAGTTCATTTCTAACCCTAACTTAATCACTCACTCCCCAACCCACTCAGCCGACACAAGTCACACAACACACTTACAAACCCACTCCCTCATGCTGCACACTCCTCTAGCGACGACTGGATCGCGCGACTCTAGCAACCCCAGCCACTAGAACGTGCGACTCTAGCAACCGCAACCACCACATTGCGCGACTCCAGCAACCACAGCCACCAAAACACGCGACTCTAGCGACCGCAACCACCAAATCGCGCGACTCCAGCGACTGCAGCCACCAGAACGCGCGACACTTGAGGCCGCAACCACCAGATCGCGCGATTCCAGCGAACGCAGCCACCAGAACGCGCGACTCCGGCGACCGCATCCACCAGATCGCGCGACTACAGCGACTGCAGCCACCCAATCATACACCAATCACCCTCTTACTCGCTTCATGATCTACCCCGACCTTCCTTTGCGACCATCTACTTTGAAGGTGGTAGATCTGGTGGTTGTTGTTGTCTAGTATTTTTGGTGTTTGGGAATTGGGACTTTAGTCAATTTATAAAATTTATGTAGTATTCATGATTGATAATATCATATTTTATGTTATTATTTATTTTATTTTTTAAATAAAAAATCAAAAAATAAATAAAAAAAACAGGTCTATTCAGGTCCGAACCCGGACCGGACTTGATTTTTCAGGTCTAACCCGGAACCGAACCTGTTGAATCAGGTCCGGTCTCCGGTCCTCAAAATTCCCTGATTCAGGTCCCGGTCCCAACAGGTCCGGTCCAGGTCCGGTCCGGTTTTGGACCGGTGTACAGCCCTACTTCCCACTATCTCCATCCTTTTACTTATCCTCTTTCTTAAATATTTCCAACATCAATGAGTATCCTTTTTTCCATGAGAGAGTGAGGGATAGATCAAGTGGTTAGAGCTTCCCTCCCGATTCTAGGAGGTTCCGGGATAGATTCTCAACCCGCCCGTGTGGCTCTCTAAACACCCAAAAAAAAGTATCCTTTTCCATACTCTCTCCTATTTAGATATACCCCACAATATATTCTCTCTCCTATTTACACACTTAATTATTATTTTAGTTTGTAAAATATTATTATTATTATTATTATTATTATTATTAATCGAACAAAAATATGTCAACTAATACATTTTCACATTAATATAAAAGATTAGTAAAATACGAAATACATGAATTAAAAGACATAAATTAAAAATATGAAATACACGGATGAAAATAAGCAACGAAAATAACACACATAATTTAAAATTATTAAAATGCTAATTTTCAATCGAGCTCCTTGACCTTGCCCATAAATGCTCAACCAAGTCGTTCTTTAATGCCTTATGAAATTGTCTATCGCGAATCTCCCCTCTTGAAGCTATCAATCTACTAAAATTATCAGAATCATACTACCCAGGAGTTACGGTAAATGTTGTAGCATTTCTGGTTGAGGACGACCCTGGCATATTTTCAGGCTGTTCTTGAGCGAATTCAAGTGGATCTTTATAGTTTAAATATGTATCACGCTCGTCTTCAACTATCATGTTGTGGATGATGATGCAAGTCATCATGATTTTCCACATCAACTTTACACTCCATGCCAAAGCAAGTTTCCTAATTATTGCAAACCGAGCTTGTAACACACTAAATGCAAGCTCAACATCCTTTCTAGTACTCGCTTGACGTGTAGTGAACAATTTATACTTTAAGGTTTGTGGGACTGCAATAGCGTTTATGAATGTCGACCATTTTGGATAAACCCATCTGTGAGATAATATCCTTTGTTGTAATTATTTCCGTTAACAGTGAACAGAACTTGTGGAGCACGATTATTTATTATATCATCAAACACCGGAAAACGCTGAAGTACATTAATGTCGTTGCAGGATCCAGGCGTGCCAAATCCATAAATCCCTGGAAGCAATCGCTTCTAAAATAACAGTTGTCGTTTTAGATCTTCCTTGATACATTCCTTTCCATCCAGCTGGACAATTTTTCCAGACCCAATGCATGCAATCAATGCTGCCCAACATGCCAGGGAAACCTCTATCCTCCCCTTCTCTAAGGAGGCATTGGATATCTTCCAATATTGGCTTGCAAAGGTACTCAGTTGCAAATTGAGCAAGTACTCCGTCGACAAACTGTGCAAGACATTCTCTAGCAGTGCTTTCACCGAGCTTCAGATACTCCTCTACTTGATCAGCAGAACAACCATAAGCTAACATACGTATGGCTGCTGTGCATTTCTAAAGGGGTGAAGCACCAAGTCACATGGTAGCATCTAGGTGTTGTTGGAAGTAACGGTTAGTTGCACTTAATGTGTTGACAATGCGAAGGAAAAGGGGTCTTCGCATACGAAACCTCCTTCGAAATGTGGTTTCATCCTGGTTGGTCACTAAAATAATCTGAAACTAAATTGTCGTAAGCTGCTTCACGATTTCTCAGCACGGTTATTCTTTGTTTTCTTTGACGTTTATGTTCATTTTGTTGTACTGAATTGTTTACAGCTACAAGTACTGCATTTTGCATTACTTGTAATCGATGACTCTCGTTGATAAAATTCATGACCATTTGATCATAGATATCATAAGTTGAACTTGAAGACGAAGAAGAAGAACTTGAAGAGTTTGAATCGAAATTCATATTATGTTTATTACCAAACAATATTTGAAATAGAAGGTTTTGGGTTTTTTTTTTAAATGCTAAAGGGAAAATAAGGTTGATATTGATAGATATAATGTTATTGGGAGTAATATTATGAATTTTATAGATAAAAATAGGATAAGGTTAGTCAGATGATAAGATTTCTCCCAAGGATATGTGGTCATAAAACAAAGGATGTCAGAAGATAAGATTTTGGTCAGATGAAATGTCATTGGAGCAATCTGATAAATTATCTAGACAAAAAACGATAAGGTTAGTCACAAAATTAGATTTCAGATGATGATATGTGGTCATAAAACAAAGGATGTCAAAAGATAAGATTTTGGTTAGATGAAATGTCATGGGTAGCAATCTTATACATTATCACAATAATATAAAGTAACATTAACAGACTTGGACTCAATTTAGTAAACATAAAGTTCATATTAATATATAGAAATTACATTCATATTAAAAAGGTACATTAACAATAATTCTGCAAAGTTATAATAATAATAAAACATACAACTCATAATCGTAATAACAAATCATGATTACTCGGTACAATAAGGTAAATTAAATCAAATCGAAAATCTACTACTGAATTCATCTCTAAGTTTCTTATACATTTCTAATTCAAATTCATCAAGAACGGGCTTCTGCATCAATCTTTCTAACATTCTAAACTTCATGGCCTCATCCTTTTGCCTTTTCTTTTCTTCAACTTGTGCTTTTTTAATTTCATCTCTTTCCTTCAACTGATCCAGAAGTCGCCCACCCAATTCATTCAACTTATCACCAACTTCGTTAAAATTTGTGTTTAATGCTTCAAGATTTATACTTGAAGTTGAAGTAGTAGATGTTTTACCTTTCATCTTTGTTTGTTTTATGACAGCTGGTCTTTTACCTCTTCCTCCAACCTCGGATAGTGAATCAGGTTGTGATCTTTTACTGCTTCCCCCACTTTCGGTTGACGTTTGTTGGCCACTGGGTAACATAGTTAATTGATCTTTGGCCAAAGATGGATCCCATTTTGGAAATTTTCTCAAGTCCTCAAAACAGTGCAATAAACAAAAAATCTTGTTGTTAGTTGCGTAGTAATCTTTGTGAGCAAATTTCTCAAAATTTTGCTTGGACTCACCACTACCCTTGGTTCGATAATGATAACCATATGCATCTACCCATTTACTACAATGTAAATTGATATGATCCCAGCGACTTTGCATAGATTTAATGTTTCTTACCTTTATTTCATCGGGGTTTTCTATTCTAGAACATTCGTAGCGGTTATAGATGTCAACCCATAACCCACTTCTCTTTGTCTTGGTTCCTCTCACTACGTCACCCCCTTCGTTTATGTAGGCCGATACAAGTGCTTTGTCTTTAGCTATGCTCAATGATTGGTTTTTCCTTTGTCCGGTGGTGTTGACATTTTGTTCGGAAACAATTTCGACTTCAACATCTTTAATGTCTTCTAGATGTTGCGCCCCCACTAATTGTTCCACTTGTTCATCACCACTCTCCTCTATTGGAGTTGCATTGCTACCACCAAAACCTCCCGGTGATTGATCCATGTTCTGAGTGAAATGTTCAGAAATGGGAAAACCACCATATTACCAAGAGATTGTTGAGATAACGAGCTACTTTGAGGAAAAGGGAAAGGAGGTTGACATTGTGGAATATTATTGACATTTATTGGTCTTGATTGACTATTAAACCATTGCAAAGCAACTTGAAAATTCGGATTGCTCAATAAATTTGGGTCAAAAGGAGGATTATTTTGATTATATTGAAAGTTTGGATTATTTGGAAAATTCGTATTATTCCCGTAATTTGAATTATTACGATCCATATGAAGGGTATTTGAAATTGGAAGTGAAATTTGTGGAAAAAAAATTTGTTTGAGTAATATTAGATGTTTTCGACAATAGATGAGATTAATGGGGAAAAATGCAAAAAGTGATAGTGTGTGAAATATAGAAAAATTATACTCATTTTATACAGAAATTTTTTTTATGACAGTTGGTGTTTTTGGTTTTCTGGAATAAGTTATTGTTAACAAGTTATAGCCGTTATAAAGATTTAAGTCACAAAAAATATGTGACTACTCTCGTTGTGACAAGTGTCACAAGATAACTTGTGCATGTTTGCCATTTGACCGTTGGTTTTTGACGTTAGTTTGGCATTTTGTCTCCAACGGACACTTTTCCCTCTTTTTTTTTTCTTTTTCTGTTGTTTACTTTTGCTTGCTTTTGCACACTGGATAAGACATTATTTCCTTTCCACATAAAGGAAATGCTAGTTTATTGCCCAAGAGAGGATCCTTTTAGCTACTTCAACATTCAAGAGGAATCTAAAAAGTACAGAAAATGATGGCTAAGAGCATTATTATTGTTGGGGATGTTTTCATCCTTTCCCATTTTCTCTCTCCTTTCCTACACTTGACACATCACCTTCTCTTTCCTCCATATCACTTCCCACTATCTCCATCCTTTTACTCATTCTTTCCCTCAAAATTTCCCAACATCAATTAGTATCCTTTCCCACTTTCTCTCTGCTACTTACATATACCCCACCATTTATTCCCTTTTCAATTTACATATATTTATTAATATACTTAATTATTATTAATGTTGTAAATGTTGTCAATAATAATTAATGACCGACACATTAATTAAACGAGACGAATTTATAAACATAAAATTCATTGGTTAAAAACATGAAATACATTGATTAAACGACACGAATAAAAAAACATAAATCACGTTGATTAAAATAGCAACGAAAATAACAAACATAATTTTAAAAATTACCGAAATATTAATTTTCATCCGACCTCCTAAACCTTGCCCATAAATGCTCAATCAAATCGTTCTTCAAAGCCATATGGACGTCTCTATCACGAATTTCCCCTCTCGAAGCTATCAATCTACCGAAATTATCTGGAAGTTTGAATTATTTGAAAAATTCAGGTTATGACCATAATTAGAATTATTATGATCCATATTGAAGAAATTTTGAAATTGAAAGTGAAATGGAGAAAAATATGGAAATTATATGATTTTGTGTTTGAGAGTATTGTAGAAGCTAGTGAAATCGAAACTTTGTGAAAATATGTCAAATTTGTACTCATTTTATAGAGAAAAAAAATTTTATGACCGTTGGTGTTTTCGTATTTTCAAAATAAGTTACCATTTGCAAATTATAGCCGTTATACGATTTTGGAGCAACAAAAATAGTAAACAAATAATTACTTGACAAGTGTCAAGATTGTGTGGGATGTATATTGTGAAATATAGTCGTTGTACTGCTGCTTTGTTAATTCTTGCATGTTGCATGGTGCATGGGCCGAGGAAGTCATTCCTTTCCATAGAAAGGAAACTCCAATTTTCTTTCCCTAAAAGTAACCTTTCCCAAGTACCATCATTGACGAGGAAACTAAAAGGAGACCAAAAAGCATGGGAAAGGAATGAGAAAGTATCCGATGCTGGTGCTCTATAAGGAGAGTAATCCTCTCCATTGCTGATGCTCTTATATACTCTACTATGGATCATGGTACACTTTATATCATTTTGCTTAAATGTTGTGTTATTTTGTTTAAATAATATATTTTTTTTTGAAACATGTTATTTATTTATTTACTTCAACCGCAACTCATGCATTTTTAATTTACATAAAAGGATTTTTTGTCTAAAATTGCCTTTATTTGACAACTTTTTGTCTATAACTAACTTATAATTTTTTTTTGTCCATAACTCACTTCAAAAGATGTTTTCTTTGTTGACCACTACCTAAATTTTTTTTCACACATTGACCTTATTTTTCAGGTCACTTAAGTCATGTGCAAGGCACAGGTTTTGTTCTTTTACGATTTTGTTTAATTTTCCCCCATTTTTATCCATTTTCTCTCTCTTCTTATTTTGCCCATATCATCTCTTTCACTTTCTTCTCTACATTATCATACCCGAAAAATTTAGAGTGTAACAAACACCATGAAAGGACACTAGTGATAAATTGATGATGGGTTTGAAATTCAAAGTAGTGGAAAAAACAATTTCACATATCTTACGCTTCGTCCCTGTCAAACCCACGTTATCGTTGTAGCGGTACGTTGTGAGGGCCTCCACCACACTCGAACACTTCTTCCATCGTCTTTACGAAATTCAAGTAACAACTCGAACCGAATTTTGTGAATTTTCGAAATTTTGGTAATTTTGTGAATTTTTGAAATTTTGTGAACCAAAGACTCGAACACTTCCTATTGACATTTAGGTTTTAAAAAAGAAAAAAAAAGTTAAAATTATTTAACATAAATCATTCAAGTGAACCAAATATTCTGCTAAAAGATAAACGTCTAACAATTATCAACTAGTGTGTAGCCCGGGCATTGCGCCGCTTGCTACTTTAATAGACCTTGTAATTATCGATTATATACATTATTTATTTTCATGTTTATAACATAGCTTATGATTGGCTTAGATGGTTAAGTAACTATCTTTCTTATAAAATGTTGGGTGTTCAAATCCCTTTATCATCATTTTTTTTATATGAAGCAATATTCTAGTTGATTGAGTAGTGATGATGTGGCATAATGAGAAATGGAGTAGGTGACGTGGCGTGGTCTACGTGGCACAGAGACGTTCTTAGTAATGCCTTTTAATAGATTAGTATAGATTGTAAATTTCAAAGAAAACCCACCAAATTTAAGAGAGAGAAAATAAAATAAAACCCACCAAATTAAAAGAAGAAAAAAAATCAGGAAACCTACTAAATCGAAGAGAGAGAAATACCATTTTGTTGAAAATGAGTTACAACAATTGGGGTTTTAGGGGGCATTGATGTTTTCATGCGATTAACTTTAAAAAATAAATGCAAACAATATTAATTAATATAGTGTGGGTTTTTAGGGGGATATGAGTTGAGATTTGAGAAATGGAGTATCTGATTTGTGGAAGAGAGAGAAAAGGGAAAAAATGGGAGAAAGTTAAACAAAATCATAAAAAATAAAAACATGTGCCCTGCACATGACTTTAAGTGACCTGAAAAATAAGGTCAATGTCTGAAAAAAAAATAGGTAGTGGTCAACAAAGAGAGCATCTTTTGAAGGTAGTTATAGACAAAAAAAATTTATAAGGTAGTTATGGACAAAAATTTGTCAAATAAAGGCAGTTTTGGACAAAAAATTCTACATAAAATAACAAGTACTTATTTAAAAATAACATGTAAATAAATTGAAATAATAATTTCACATCAAAATAATATTAACAACGTTATGTTTTAAGAGAATTGAACACTTCAGGAGGTACTAAATTTCTGAACATGAACACATTTGAACCCTTAAATGGCTTCAAATCAATTGATTTATAAGAAACCTAGAAAATTGGAAGAAGAAAAGAGGAGAGAGAAAGTGTCTTTGGTTTAGAGTTGGAGTAGTGAGAGGAAGAGAGTGAGAGTGAGAGCTTGATTTCTGGAAAATTGGAAGAAGAAATGAAAAGAAAGTGTGTGATTTTGAGTTGGAGTAGCTGAGAGAGAGTGATAGAAAGTGAGTGTGAGAGGAAGATGACCGAGAAAAGGGGTGAAATAACATACATTTATTTAAAAATAACATATACAATATATAAATTGAAATAATAAGAAGTTAACACTAAAATAACATGATTTTTATAAACCAGCTGGAGTACCGTGTGCATGGTACTCCAGGAGTAAAATAGAAATTCCGAATAAAATTAGCGAATAGATAAAATAAAACTTTGTCTGTTAGAAAATAAGGTGAATGCCAAATTACCAATTATTGATTTGATTTTACAATGTTCATATAAGTCCAAAGACTTGTGAACTTATATGGCAATATATGAGTATAATTGTAATCTTAGTATAGGACTCTTGGCTATATATATATATACTCCCTCCGTGTTTTTTAAGTGTTATAGTTTGACTGGTACATAGTTTTAGGCAATTTAATTGACTCAAATAAAAATAAGAGGTAAGTGGGGTAGTTGGAGTATTAAAAACTTGTAAAAGAAAGATAGTGGGGCTAATAATTTATTGAAAAGTAATGAATGTGAGAGGAAATATATAATAAAAAAGTATTAGTGGGTTTGGGTGGGGACCATGAGAGGAGAGGGATATAATATTTTAATGTAGTTTTTTTTGCCAAAAAAGGAAGTGTAACACTTAAAAAAACACGGCCGGAAATGAGAAGTGTAACACTTAAAAAAACACGGAGGGAGTATATATATGTAGGATGTCATGCAAACAAATATTACGATGCAATACTACTACACTAGAGTTTCACTCATCCCCTTTACACTAGAGTTTCACTCATCCCCTTTTACTTCTTCTTTACTTCTCCTTTCACTGATTAAAAAACTTTCTATCGGTAAACATTTAACACGTTATCAACACGAGTTTCCAGTCGTGTATATTAATACTTACTTCTAAAAATCTATAATAAGTAATACTATCTACTTCTAAAATGTTGAGGAGTATGCTCTATAGTTGCGCATATTTGGGATCCTCTATACCAGAAACTCAAACATTTATTGTATTATATACCTCAAAAACAACGGTGAAA